TCTCATAAAGTATTTTTCTGAGGTCTGTCTTATCAGGTAAATTACTGTACACAGTGTATTCATTAATTTTCATTTTCATGTTGTAAAGGCTCTATGCCTTCATAAAGGACGTACTTTTTCTTTGTTTAAGGGTATTTGGGCAGTTTATTCTCTGTTATATTCTTAAGTAAACAATACATACAAGTACAGTACAGTATTTTCTGAGGAAACACTCGTACTTATTTTTTTTTAACCCCATTCCCGATAACCCGGCATTTTCACAAACTCGGCCACTCTTCGGTCCACATTAGGCCGAGTTTTCGAGGTTCTACTGTATATGCATATAATCAAATATTCATTACATATAACATATATATATTATATTATATATAATATAATATAATACATATTTCTACTATATATGTTAACTCTTTTAAATATATTAAATGTATATTTGAAAATATATGTACAGTACAGTGTAATGGTAAGTAACTGATTACAGTTTTGCGTACTAAAGCAGTTTTTCTTAAATTTAGAAATTTGAAAATTTTTGTACACAGCGTTGTATACAAATACAGTTTATATATAATATATAGTGTCATTTGGTCCACCTAAATAGTATTATTTGTACCCATGTAAAAGATCATCATTTATCTAACTTTGGTAATAGCTTTAAATTCGGTCAGACTGTTTCATCCATCCAACTAGAGTGAAAGTTTGCCAACATTGAACCATTGTAGAAAATTAACCGTAACATTGCTGAAAGTATTTTGCAATTGTTAAACAGCCAAAAAACAACACAACACCGGTCTGAAACCTTTTTTATAGCATTCTGTTTTAAGATGAATACATAAACATTTTGCATCCTATATCAATTATACATTCGTAAACATTCGATTTTCGATTTTTAATATGAAATTCGTATTAAACTCATTTCATGGATGTTGTAAAAATGAGTTAACGCTGTAGACAAAAACAGCATCTTTCCAAAGTGAACATTACGGTTAGTCCAGGCCGATAATGGGGCCAGCAGTTTGGACAGAGATGATAGATGCTCACTGCGTAATTACCATCTATGACACATGTAAGTTGTCTGTAAATCTCGCTCTCGCTTTGAATGCATATATTTCGTTATGCTTATATGTTTGTATGCAATCCTTTTACTTTTTTTTTGTTTTGTTATATATATATATATATATACAATATATACACCTAAATGAGCACTTACGATGAGTATGAAAGCAACGAAACATAATTGTAATATCGATTATTGAGGATTAAAACAAATTTATCGAACTTATTATAAAAGGCGTAAGTTTTGCAGATCTGGAGAATATGTTACGATGATAGAATCAATGACGTGCACCATTCTTAAGAAAGGAGAAGGTAGCAATACAAGCAGCAAATATGGCTAAAAGAGTGACATTTAGCTCTTGAACATTGCAACTTATAAAATATTTAGAAAAACTTCTCCCACTATGAATAAATGAGAAGAATTTAGCTGTTGATATAATCTCAAAATAGAAATTCTGTAAATCAGCTTAGCAAGTAACATATTGATGTTAATTAACAGTTGGGACATCAGTACAACTACAGTAAATGCAATTTTAATTTTATTATGCAGAGCATACGTATTATTACATTGTTTTAATTAACTTATCATTCAGGGCATTTATTTCTGTTAATTTCCTTAAATTATGTGTTTTAGTTTATTGAAACAAATTCTTTAATTTTAGTAATGACAATTTTAGTAACTTTCTAATAGGAAAGATCAAGTCGAACTTCAAAGAATTCAGTTTGAAAAGCCAGTGGAATGAATGAAATTTAGAAGTTCGAATCACCAGTCTAAGAAGTCTAATATGAATGAATGTATTTATTATATTTTATGTATATTCTCATAATGTTTAATTGACACAGTAAATATTAAAAAATATGAAAAAACTAATTCAAGATACTGTATTTACCTTTCCTGATCCAACAGAGCCGATAACAGTTAATAATTCTCCAGGCTGTAATTGTAACGATATACCATCCAATGTTAGTTCGGTTTCCTTATAAACAATAAATTAATTTTTTTAAACTTAACTTTAAATAATGCAAAATCAAATTTAAAAAATATCAACAAGATATGTTGGTAAACACTAACTTAAACAAGCCTTAAAACTCGCTATCTATAATTTCGTAATGTTTGTCAGCATTAATAGTGGTAATACACATTAAAGTCAAATATTATAATTCAAAATATTCTTACCTACAAATCGAACATGCTGAGTTTCCTATATATATATCATTAAATAAATAATAAAATGCTTAAAGTTATTATTTTTACTTTATTCAAAGGAATCAAACAGTTCTATTTAATCATACCCAGAAAATACACGTAATTTTTAACTTATATAACAAGGACTAATATAAATTTATGAGCCCGGAATGAGATTAGTTAATACCGGTACAAAGCATTAACATTTCATAGATGTTTATTTCTTATTCGATAAAAAGAAAGAAGTATGTGAGGAATAACGAAGCATCGTCATAACTCTTTTACTAAAAATGAATTATATTCCAGGGTCAGTATTAAATGATTTTATACTGTCAGAAACGACAAAACATATCCTAATAGACTGTCAATGAAAGATTTTTTTAAGTTCACAACGTTGAGAAAACTTTCATTTGGTGGATTCAAATTTGAGTCCATCAGAATTTTGTGTATGTAGACGTAAAAAAAATTAATAAACATTTATAGAAACAGACTCTTTAATTCAGAGAGAAGTACATTTTTATCACTTGTGTACAATTTTACAACAGTTTGATAGTAGTCAAACAGTCAATTTGATGTGAAGTATGAAGAGACGAATTAAGCTTCAATACGATATCATGCGATTTAAAATATCACAAGGTTGTTTAACCAATGTATTTACGTAACCTTCTATTTAGCACGGTCTGTGATATTTATCCACAAATATTCACGTCACTTACAACGTGCATTCATAAGCAAGATTATGGAAAAGTTTTCTTGTTCCTTTTTTCTATATACACATATCCCAACATTAATGGAAAATATTGCGTTTAGAAACAAAAGTATTGGCTAGATATTTTTTGTATAGTTTGCAGTTTGTTCTCGAACCTGATAATTTGGATACAGATTATTTGTTACCTTTCTTTATTTATACTTGTTCTCAGAGAGTGAAATATTTTTTCACTAACATAGTGACATTACAGGCAAAACATTAATATATTGTGCGAAAATTATCAGTTCATTGTAAGAAAACTCATCCGTTTTCTTACATACTATAGATTGACGTTTTTGTAGCAAACTGTAATTGCATTCTGTGTATTTCTCTTGCTAATGTGGCTAAATTAACCCATTTTTCTATTCCTCTTACTGCCGAATGCTATGCTTTCTAATATGTTCTTCACAGCTCTACGTTACTTTCCTATATATATCATATGTTATCTAAACCATTTCTGTTTATTCAGAATGACTGTACTGTGATATTTCTCAGTCAAAATTCACAATATATTTTGGATCTAAAAACAATTAGCATTAACCATACCGACATACGAAAAATACTGTCTTTCTATGCTTCTGTCACGTAATTAAATACGTGATTTCAAGATTGATCGTGTAGATTAACCCCTTAGGGTGCGACTATGCGAACGAGCGTAAATATGTGACGAGAAGAGGGGAGACGCGATAAATATCAAATTAATAATACCTGCGATAAACAGAAATTCGCTCTCGCCACGTGTTATTTCTCGCTACTTTGTGCATGGTTTTCCATTGCGAAAACTAAATCACTCGCAACATCCCGCTCGCTCTAAATTCGCTTCTTCATAGTCGCATAATCGCACCCTTACCCTACGATAATCGTAAGTAGAGTACATACCTTAACGTTATTATTCAGTAATATTCTATTTAAGATCAAATATATAGACTATTAAATGCAAACAAGGAAACACAAATGTGTGCAGTTTTCAGGATAATTCGCTACTGCAAGATGATGTCGGTCATAATAAATGTTACAACTTAGATTGACTAAAATGAGCATGGACTGCAGGTAACGGACAATCCTGTGCACAGGTTAGAGGTACTATCAGGTGATAATTTTTGTATCTGTTAAGAATTTTTACTGTCAAACACCTTTGAGACGAACATATAAGTAAAGCTAAAGATGCAATCATGAAATCATTGAATAGAAAATTTCTTCATAAAAACTTATTAGCCTTGTTATCCATGGGAAAATTGATTAGCAAGAGAACAGCGATTATGTAGAACAATAGCTAATACCGTGTTTTCAAATAAGATATCAAAAAAGATTGTACCATACATTTAGGTCATACACTGTGAAATCAAAATACTTAATAAATGTAGATTAATGAATTTTCATCACATCGTATGATAGCCACTCAATTAAACATAACTGAATTTAAATAGTAGGAATCGAAACATTTTATTGTATGTAAGTGTTATTAATGTATCCACGTACCCTGTTATTCGGAAGTCTTTTGATGTACCCACGATTTTTAGTGCAAACAGTTTAAAACAGCAAACTGGTATTTTTCCCATTAATTTGTATTTCGATTTGAAATTTGTGTATGTATTCATGTATTGATATATATGATAAATAGGCGTTTTTATAGAAAACTTTTCCTAATGCTGCTGTCTTGAAAGACTTATAAATCATCCAGTTTAATTCATTTTTCATCGTTGCTACATCTATAATATTATATATTAAGAAATAAAAATTGAAAGCATATTAAACTTATTTTAGAGCTAACATAAACTAAATAAAAAGATTTTCTTACTTTATTCCACGCAGCTTGAACTCTTTCCATCCAAATACCATTAATTTTCATTAATTTTTGTTTTTTCTCTATACCTTTGGCCGAAATATTATCTTTTCCTTGGAGTAGGAGAAAGTCCTAAATAAATACGCCTAAATATTAATTACATTAACTAACATTTGGAAATAAAATAAGTTTTTAATACATCAAACAGGCGTAACATAACATTGATACATAAAACTGACTCGCCTGAAGTCTCTTCAATGAAATAAACATCTCTGCAACAATGTTAATTGCTAGAGAAAACAATGTCATAGTACTTAAGTAAATGTATATCGAAAAATTTATAGTGACAAACACAATTTCGTCAGTTAATCGACCACCACCTAAAAAAATTGCTAAAAAAATAAGAGAACAAAATAATCTTGATAAAGGATATCCCAATATGAATGATATCCCTCGAATATATATAAACATTCTGACTTTTTTCATTTCTTTTCTGCAAATATAAAAAACAGTTGTGTATAAATTTTTAAAATTATTAAAATAACAAAAAATTAATTAATGAAAAATATATTTATGCTTACTTTCTGATTTTTTCTATTAACGCAGCATATGGCAATTCCCAAGTGTACATTTTAATTAATCTCATACCAGCGATCATCTCATTCAACAGATTCAATCGTTTGTCTCCCAATATAGCTGCTTGTAATCTAATAATATATAAATGTATTCATAAATAGGTATATAATACATTTAATCATAAGCATAAATTATGAGTTAGAAAAGTTTATGGTTTAAGCATTATGTGCAGTTGTACAGAGTTATTTAACTTAATAAGGATAATGTTTACACTATTAAAATTAATTGAAAAATTGGGGAATTTTTAGCGTAAAAACGTATTATACATTAGAAGGACATAGAAAACAACTATATGGGATATGGCTTATTCCTTTGATGAGAGACAGAAGCGCATTATATGCCTATGGATAGACAATTATATTGAAGCCGGACTGTATTTAGTTGTTAGACATGTGAAAAAAGTCAGATAACTCAACGTGACTATTTCAGTTGTCAGGTGTAAACACAAGATCAAGATATTCACAGATTTTATGCATTTGGCCACTGGCATGATGGAATTACAAGAGAAATTATAACATAATTCATTTCTGAAAATTCTGATCTAAATATTACTTCATACAAAATTTGAAAATTATCCAGAATAATTTCAAATTAAATTTTTAATAGTCATTTTATATTGAAGTATATAATGATTGGTATCTACGTATATACTTGTATATAAAAATCATGTGTTCTTGGTCTGTTGGATTGTCCTTTATACAAACTTTACTTGAAACCCTTCAAACTAAGGTTGTGTACCGTGTTCTCTAGTAACCTAGTTAGAGACCTAGTTTTATCCAGAACGGTATAAGGGATGCGTCGGCTCAAGCGTACTTCGAACACAAATAACCTAGCTTCATCTAATAAGACAACCCTTGGCAAGAGAAGTATGCGTGATAAGTGTGAATCGAGCCTGTAACGAGTTTAATTAATTAAATAATCAACCGATTGCAAACTATATCCACGATGAACTGTTGCATGAGAGATCTGTAAGTACTCACTTTTAGTAGAATGAGATATCTGATTTTATTCGCTTTGATAACAATAATGTGTTTTTCAGCCAAGCATTTCTTGGTCCTTCATAGAAGACACCAGAAGCCGCTTTTTTACCCTGTTATTCATAGAAAAATTCCAAAGGTAACTTTCCATCTATAGTTTTCTTCTGTAATTTAATAAATTTTTTTAATTCACAAATGTTACTTTGTAAGTTGTTAAACAGATTTTTTGTAATTAATACGTAGTAATGTAATAGTTTTTTAAAATGCACGTATCTTATACTTGATTATAAGTAACTTAATACATCCAAAATTGCGTATAACCAATAAACGATGTCAACGTGAACATTTTACTTGTAATTTGTAACATGTAACACATATAATATTTAAAATATTTTATGCAACAGACTTTTGATCGAAAGTAATTATGTACAAACACAGCTTCAAAACTAATTAACAAGTTGTAAAGGGCAAAAAAACAAACACAATCAACAATACACACTGCAAAGTAGTTTTTTCAATATTACTCAAATATTAAACCATGATAGATAAACATAATTTCATATAAAATTTATTTAATATTTCTTCATAATAATTTAATAACAAATACAAAATTTCTTTCAGTAGATAATAATTAATTTATACTCACCGTTTAGATTAACAATTGTTAAATGATAATTACCTCAATTTATAATTTACAATTAAATAATTTGAAATAGTATTGATTACCTCAATTTTGAGTATAATTTTCCAAATAAAAATTGTATAGGGATGTATAAAAATATCAGCGACATTCCAACAAAAATGGCCCATTTATAATACTGCCACAATACCACTATTGTAACAATGATTAAGAAAGGATTCGTAAATATAGACAAAACGGCAAAGACGTGCTGTAATAAAAAATTTTCAAAAGTAAACATAATTAAGGAAACAGCAAATACATTCTATACATAAGATTTTTACAAAAATAAAGTGCATTTAAGAGTAAAACATAATCAATACGCATTTCTAATTACAGATTACAAAACGTTACAATGTTATAAAATATTCATTGAATGTGATATGTAAACTTTTGAGGAAATTAGATTAAAGAGGAATAATAATATGCTTGAAGTGTATGCACTTATATGAAAAATTACCACTTCTTGTGTATTATCTTATCTTATTGTACATACTTTTGTGTTTTAAATTTTTATTTATATTTTTATTATTTACAAATAGAAGTATTACTGATATTATTGAAAAACCTAATTAAAACTTAGTGTTATTTGTATTGAAGTACAGTATTAGCATTATACAGTCGACCCCTCTATAACACGGTTGATACGTTCCTGTTTTTATGAATCCAGCCTCTAGGAGTTTAGCCAACCACAGCCAGGCACGTATACTGTTTACGGCCGTTTGAAAGGCTTCTTCCATAAAATTAATCGATTCTAGACTAATTTGACTCAACATTTCCAAAATACGTACAATGTTTTTGGAATAATCTGTATAAACTATGCTATAAACAAAAAATTGTAAAATTACTTACCGAGTGTGCACCGTTCGACAACGCCGTTGCTTAAGCTTGTTTTCGTCGTGATTGTCATCGAATGGCGCTCGCTTCCTTTCTGATAAATTATTTTTTTTGCGAAAAATTCTCTGCACTTTAGAGACATCGTTAATATAAATATAATTTTTATGGAAGTTAAATAATAAATGGTTTTTAGTAGGTCTGCTGCTCGTTTAAACTAAACGGTTTGCGCAATCTTGTCGCGACACGAGTCGGCGATGACGTTTTACCGAATTATAGGAGTTTATTTAGCATGTTTGCAATTTTTTCGCCGTGATATCGGAATCCGAACTATAGGAACCCGTGTTATAAGGGGTCGACTGTACTTAATAGTTAACAAATTAGGAAAATAAAAAATAAGAAAAGTTGTAAATTGAAATTAGTTACGTAACTAAATTTCTATTTACGTTACTTTACAGATTGGGTATTTGTTTACATACATAATATTGAATCCTGTATAAAGTTTGATTAGTTTTATGAATACAGCAACTCAACACATAACAATGTATCATGGGTCCGAGATGTTTCTGTTATGTGAAACTATAACCTGTTTTCGGTTTTTCATTTACTGAGCCAATATTTCATTTTAAAAAATCTGTATGAGCACCCATCAATATTCTAATAAACCTTTATAACAGTTGCTTGAAATCCAGCAATCATTCATCAGCTTGGAAGGTATCCAAGATGGTGCTCATTCTAAAGATCCCTGAGGCCTCAACGCACTTGTTGAATCCTTGCAAGGATATTTTATTTTTTCACTTTGAGCAAAGTGCTGGATGCTCTTATTGTAAGTTGTATTGTATTGCATCTAAATGAAAGAGATTACTTCAATCAGAATGATATCGAATTTTTGCTAGCAGAATTAATACAGATTCCGTTATTGCTGCAATAAATGAAATAAGAAAGTTCCAACAAGCATTCTTTTATGTTTTACATTTAGTGTAGATCAAATCATATATAAATGCGCGCTTATCACGCTAGTAAACGAGATTAAATTACAAAGTCTTTAATGATTATTTAACACCTTATGAAAACAGTTTTACAACGGCTTTTTAATGTAGTTTTATTATTTTTATAATTAAATATTTATGTATAAACACAGAAGAAAACTTAATGTATATATATATATACATACATTACGTCAGCAGCTCGCTATTATGTATTTTACTTCATTATAAATTAATGCAGTGTAGAAGTCACTTTTCTTATATGCCAGTAATGAGAAACATATTTCGTATATTAATTCCATGAAGTATCAGTTTCAGTTAGCTCTGTATCAGTACTGAGATATTTAAAATTAAAACAATATATAATACATATAGGTTAAAATTTATTGCATTTGTGAGATCCGAATAGCCTCTGGGTCTAAAATAATAATTATTTAATAATGTTAAATTTTGTCATAAAATATTCTTTCGTTTGAGTGAGAAAAATAACGTTTTAGCGTGGGAAAGATAGATAACAGATGCTACTTTCTTCCCGGGAAGTTAGAACATCCTCTGTTTTTCCATTATCTACTAAAAATCTCGCTTCGATAAAAACTGTTAACCCCTCATTTCATCCCCTTCCTATCCGTTCACGTGAATAAAGCCTCGACTGATAATTGGTCGTAGATGAGAAGATATAGGGGATGTTTAACCGAATTCGGGGAGTTCGTCAGAAAATCTCTTAGAGGAGAGACGTCTTTCAGACTGGCTCCCCATCTCCCTTAAGAGTTCATCGACAGACCTGGAAGAGTCAGAACTCCACACATAATTGCTCCTGATGACCAACGCCCTTAGTCGAGTCACATAGAATAAATCTGGAGTTAGCGCTTAGAAGATATACTTAAATATTATGCACATTTCGACCTCCCATGGAATGAAGTTTGAGAACTTTATAAATGAAGTGCCTTTGCCTACAAGAAGAAGATGAATGACAACGAAACCAGGTTGTATATTTAATAACAATTTTGTAAGCTCTCTCTCTCGGTCTCGTAAAGGGGAAAATATAAGTCAATATCTTTCTCGACACATAATTTGTAATTTGCATTTATTGTCTCTCTTTTCCATATATTTGTACAACCTTTAATTGTTTATGTTTAATTAAATTTATTCTTGTTTATTTGTTAAAGAATGTCTCCTATAGTCTCTGAATCAGATGTATAAAACAATCATCCGCGTGTTTGTCCGCGGATCGATCAATTGACAAACTGGTGTCGGGAACCTGACAAATTGGATAGAGACTTCACAGTCTTTAATCCTCCTTAAGCCTAAATATTACCGCCTTCCTATGTAAGTTTTTAAGATTAGATCTAGTGATCTGAAACTATAGAGAACCGATCTTACAATCGGTACCCGTAAGTGGCGGAGAATTAGTTCTACGTCCTGGTGGATGTCACACATTTATAATTATAAAACACTAAAATATGGCTTACATTAAAAATTACTTTTCGCTTTATCTATTAAGGAATTTATCAAAAATAATATTCATAATACTAATGAATCCAAAACGATTTACCTCTTTGCAAACTTTCTCACTAGCTTATTGCATGCAACTTGCAGCAAGCTGCAGATCAAAACATACGAATCTTTTTTCCTTTCACTCTGTTAATACGCCACAATTATAACTTCCTATTTTTAATAATTTTTTGCTTGTTTTCTTTTCTCTGTATATTTTTCATTGATGTATGTTCTCATTGTTCTCTAATTTTCACGCTTGTTGTGCATTCCGGTACCATGTACAAAAATACTTTGGTCAGCTCCTGTCGAAAAAGTTGCTTGGCATCCGAGAGCAAATAAAAATTCGAAATTTTGTTCATACACCGAATTGTTCGAAAAGTGAGTCATTCGAAAACCGAGCTTCGACTGTATATTTTTTGTAGATATATTTTCACTATGAATTCATGTCATATTCAATCGTATGGCGAATTCAAACCTTTGTAAATTGTATGCGTTTTAGTTATACTTATGTGAGACTAATCGGGGGTAGGATGTTTACGAGGATGTCCCTCTCCTACCACTTATTGGATTCAAGACCTTGAGGTCCGGTCTCGCTTGTCTAAAGGATGGGAAAAAAGGGTTAGGAGAAAGGATCGTTAGATTCTTTCACCTGTCAGGATCTGACACCAATCTATCAATTTATCGCGGATAGATACGCGGATGGATGGGAAATTATCCCGAGCGTCTCGTCGAGGACTTCGGGTTCAGTATGGAGTGGAAAATTGTCGGAAGAAACGCACACCAATACAAGTTCGTTAACAAAATACCCGATTATTCTGTACATTTATACATGGTTAATGATTGGAATACAAATCCCTCTCGGGTTCAATCCGTATAGTTCATAAAGTAACGGCAAAGTATAAAATAGTCGCGACCCTACCCGCGAGGTTCGAATATTCGAGAGAGAGCTTACACATCATCGCGTGTAGGATAAATACCTCTGATTAGATTGTTATAACGTTGATCCGAGGTTCGTCCTTCCAAGTTCAAAGTTCGAAGTCGAAGTTCAAAGTCTATTAACGACGGTGGAGACGAGATGCAGGTAAATCCACGGGCACACACTCACAGTATAGAGAAAAGAACTTAATTTCCCCCTTGTGTCGTCATTACACTTGCCTTTTATATGGGGGCTCTTTTTTTGAGATTTCCCCATGTACGTCACAGGTGATGATCTTCTTTGACCAATGATGGGCGAAGTGACAAACTTATGACCCAACAGTTAACTCATCTTCTACAGGAAAGTATTGTCGTGGGAACGGAGTTTTTATGAGCGATTTTTATGAGAAAATTTGTCGGTTGTTTTCCCTTTTTGTGTTAACCCTAACTTTTAATCTAATGAATAAAAATATTCGAATCTTAAATCCGGGCCCTCACACTTATTGCAAATATGAAAATGTTTTCTAAAATAAGTATTTCTTTGTGGAAAATATTAATAAACTTACATTTTTCTATAGAATAGTAATATTTTATTTCGTACTCACATTACAAAATTTGCTGACATCGTTTGCAAGAAGGTTTACCATCTGACCTACGTTTGATTTTGCCAGAGATGAAGAACTTAAGTTAATTGCCTGCATATAAATTCTTTTATTAAAATAAAAAAAAATTCCTGCAATTATCATCAAGAAAATTACATCTAAAAACTAAATTATTATGTATTTTAATTTATTATAAATTAATGCGATGTAGAAGTTACTTTTCTTATATGCCAATAATGAGAAACATAGTTCGTATATTAATTCCAAGAAGTATCAGTTTCAGTTAGCTCTGTATCAGTACTGAGATATTTAAAATTAAAACAATATATAATACATATAGGCTAAAATTTATTACATTTATAATTATAAAACACTAAAATATGGCTTACATTAAAAATTACTTTCGCTTTATCTATTAAGGAATTTATCAAAAATAATATTCATCATTCTAATGAATCCAAAACAATTTACCTCTTTGCAAACTTTCTCACTAGCTTATTGCATGCAAGAATAAGTGTATAAAAATTATAAATGCCTATAACAATTTAAAATTTTTTAACTATCACACTACTCTAAAAATGGCATATGTTCCCTAACTCTTTGACTGTTAACTACCATAACATATAAACAGTACTACTTATAAATACGGAAATGACCTCTGCAAAGTTTCAAAATTTTTTATTCCTTCAATCCACCAGGTAATATTTAATATGAACCAAACACAGACATACATTACAAAATTCAGTAAAGTTCTTTATTATATTTTTGATTTTTTGAGTATCAACCTGTAATAAAAATGCAAAACACACATAGAGACAAAACTTATTGTATATAATTTCCTGCTTAATATAATAAAAAGCAAATATCGTGCACAGTTTTGCATTTAAAAATAAATTCGAATATTCCAAGATTGAACTGTAATTACTTTCTAAGATAAAAAATGCATTAGATTTTTCTTTTTCGAAGTGCTTACATTTTAATTTTCACAGAGTTAAAACAGTTAATTTAAAACTTAATAATTTTCATAATTAGAAATATCTGTAACGTTTAATTACTTATATCTAATTAAGTTATATATATTTAAAGCGTATTTGATACACACCTTTTTATATAAAACAGTATACAAAGCTATCTTCAATTTCAAGCTTAATAATTCTGTTACAAAAAAATTCAAACTGTAGATAAATAAATAAATCGCAGTCATTCCAAAAAATCCTGCAGCTGATAAGTAAACTCTGAATTCATTCCACTCAGAACTGTGGTCGAAGCAATTAATTACTAATCCCAAAAAATATGCCTGGCTTGCAATTATCACAGTTTCCTGAAAATTTATTGCTTACTTAACTCTATTATTACAAACTATAGTGACATACTTAAAATCTGCCGTAATACCTGAATAAGTGCGAATATAATCGCAATTATAAATTGCCATCCGAGAAATCTCAATATAGCATTCAACAATCTTGGATTACTTTGCTTCAGTTCTTTCTCCCATTCCCTGAAATAGAATTTACAGAAGCGTTAATGATTAAGAACATCGATTTCACAGCATTTATAATTATAATTTTATCAATTTTATACATTTTCGGCTACATAAATTATTTTTTTATACATAGAATGGCAAATCTCAATTAATTAATAAATTCTGAATTTCTCAATTAATTTTGATACATTTGCAATCTACAAATTAATAATTCCAAATACAGTGGTACCTCAGGATACGAAATTAATCCGTTCCGAAACTGAGATCGTATCATGAAAATGTCGTAAGGTGGATCATCTTTTCCCATACGATTACATGTAAAACCAAATAATTCGTTCCAATGCGAAAAACATACTCAAATTAAAGCCAAGTAATACATTAAAAAAATAACTGTAGTAAGAAAAGCAAATGAAAAATACGAACTAATGTAACGTCGTATGGTGAGTTTTTGTTCGTATCGTGGAGCAAAAATATGTTCGAATTTCATGTATCCTGAAAATTTCGTATGCTGGGGCGTTCGTAACCTGTGGTACCATTGTATAAATATTTTAATAGTCAAGGATTACGATGATATCATATACAAAATTTCTGTTTTAATTAATATATATCGTATTGTACCTTATTATATTTTGATTAAATTTGTATATAAATTTAATTTAGCTGTTAACTGATAACTTACTTTTGTAAAAGTTTGCCAAGGTACTCAGAGGCATGATATTTTGAAGTTTCATACAAATCTTCCTGTTTTAAATACCGTTTTCTTCCTTTGGTTAGTAAAGGAAAAAGCCAACTGAAAGAAATGATAATTTTTAATGCAAAGTCGTAACAGGAAAGGGTTATTTATAAGTAACTTAATCTATTTTTAATTCTCAAATGATATTATAAACACGATTTTTCTTTTCTTCAGAAGGTTATATTGGTAAATGACAAATTAAGTACTGTGATGTAAAGCAATACGATGACATTGAAATTACGCAACGGAATGTGTGGAAAAACCGTAATTATCGCGACATTGCGAAGTATCGTTTCAAAATATGTAATAGTGTATTGTTAAATATTTAGAAGTTTTAATTTTTTTTTAATTTTAAATTAATGATAGTAAAATATTATATAAATATACAAGTTAATACATAGTTCGAATTGTAATCACTATGAATTTAGAATAGAGCTGTGTAGACACATATTTTCTCTCTTTTATACATAACTGATGGAGAGAATGGCGATCGGTCAGAAAATGAACTCAAAAATTTTACATTTTTTGAAATAGGAGACGTCGTAACGTCCATGAAATACAAAAATATTTAGGAATTTTTCCTTTATGTATGGGTTTTAATGTTTCTGTCTGTGTGTGGGGTGTACAATTTTGTTCACCAGGTATAAAGCATACCTTCTGTGTTTTATGTATAAAATATCTTTGCAATTTTGCATGAAGGTTTGTGTATTAGAAAGATTGATGGTATTAAATTTTGCTGATTATAGCAGAAGTGGTGTGGGAAGCTTCGATCACAAAATTAATTTTTCAATGTATTTTCAGATAAAAATTGAGTAGCACTGATCACAAAATAGGCAGCTTTGATCACAAAATTAATTTTTTCAGTAAATTACTATCGAATAAATTAAAATTGCAAATAATAATTTGTTGAATGAAACTATTTCAAATCACATAATTAATTTTTCAATCACAAATCTTAATTTTATTTTAACAATAAGGCAAAGTATCTGTTTTTATAAATTTGAAAAGTAGCACAGATCACAAAATTAAATTATAATTACAAATAATTTTTTTAAAATTGCAAATAAAATTTGTTGAATAGAATTATTTCATATCATAAAATTTATTTTTTAGGTAAATTACTATCGAATAAATTAAAATTGCAATAATTGTATGAAATAATATAACACCAAAACAATTTTTTTTTTATTTTTATCATCAATACTACAATTAATTATTTTCTTGATGGTTATTTGTTTTAATATTCGGGTACATGACAATTTGAAATAATATAACACTGAAATTATTTTGAAAAGGTTTCTATTTTTACATTACAGTTTATTTAAGTGTTTCCAATTTTTCCTTCAGTTTGTCTAAACCAAGAAATTTCTGCATATGATAATTTTAAAATTAATTTTTCAGGAGATAAATTTTTCGAGTAAATTAATTTTATAAATAATTATAATATTTAGGAAACTGTTCAATTCTTTTCTTAAGAAAAAACTTTTAGTGCAATCCATTGCTTCATATAAACTTAATTTTCGATAATTATTTTTACAATTTGTACTACTAACCGATGTGGTTTAGAATTATCAATATATATTCTCAATTTTCTTTGTTCTATTATCTGAATAAATTTAAAACACGACAACCTAAAATAATAATATAACAATAAAACAAAGTTAAATAGGGAAATAGTTCAACATAATAATTATTTAAATTATATTTGTTACTTATTTATTAAATATCGTAAAGAGAACAATGCTTTTTAAAATATTTGTAGTAATAACGAATTTTTTTAATTGATACTTTTTAACAGAATCTATATAAATATCTATTACAGTTTCTATAAGACGGTGTAATGTTTTTATGACTAACTGTCGATAACTTGAAATGCCTCAAAATCGATTAAAATTGCATTCTGCAATTTTATATAAATAAAAATTAGGATTAGTATTATTTTATATTTAATAAGAGAATAACAAAATGATTTCATACATAAATATTTTTAACTGACCATATAGAATGTTCATTGATATAACAAATGTATTGTCTTCTTATTTTTGATGTTATAACACGATCATATTCAATTATTACATCCATTTTATCAAATTGTTAATGTGAAACTTATGTTTTTAAAATAAAAAAAATTTACTATGATACGCTTCTTGTCTAGTCTTCTCAATGGTTAGTGAGCGCTAAGATTGGCTTTACTTTACTTCTAGACTTATTACACCACCACAGGACATCAAATTAGATTTAGAAAAACACTATTTTATTTTCAGAATGCATTTCGGACATAGAGTCCCTCATCAGCTATTTGCTACAAAAATTAATAGGAGGTTAACAATTTTATAAAAAGGCCGTGATTGACATAAATGAACAAAAATGTGGACTTACATTTGACATGTGGGTTCGACGCGTTGAACATTAATTAAAAGATTAAGCATACGATATACAAGATTTCTCGTTAAAAACGGTAATGTTGGTGCAATAACGTAATAATAAA